CAATTCCTACTTTCAGCCACTTACCCCAAAGACCCAGTGTTCTGAGAGGGATTCCTCGCCCGTTAAGTCTTACTCAAGCGGAGCAGAGAGCGCTGCGAGAATGTGATAGCCCCAAATACACACATCATCTCACGGAGGAGGGACGCTCTCGGTGAATAATGGAGGGAGAATAAAAGGAGGGAAATGGGAAGTGAGAGCAATTGAATAGGCTGATATTTCAATATACAATGGAAATAAAAAGCCATGAAGTGAAATATTCCTCCCCCCACCCAGAAAAATGAAGCGGCGGGGTGGAGGGGTGGAGGCGGGAATAGGTCTGGAAGAGCTAAAAAAAAGCCCTGGATTTGAACGACAGCACGAACATTCTCATATCGGTGTATAAAAGGAAACGTGAACTGAGGGCGAGTGGGCGCTGCCCTTTTGGAGGGATCTTTCCCAGGCGCAAGTCTGGGAGGCCTCAGGAGGCCCAGCCTCAGTACTAACCTCAGCCCCAGGCTGGCCCTGGGCCCTTAGGTTCATGAGGGCCAAGGGGCCCAGCAGAGCCCAGATTAACTAGTTTCCAGCTGGACTACCCCAGTTTTAGCTCCCAGGGCTTTCTTGGGGTCAATCCCTTTTAGTATGAATTATTTTCATGCTTTAAAATCGTCCCATATTTCAAAGGACAAATTAGCACCAATTTATGGATAAAGTTCCCCTCTTCCCTCCTAATCTCCCGACTTGTGGGGCTTCTTATGCCCAGTGTGGCACCTTAATAGAACCAACGCTTTCCAGGGCTCTTCTCCGTGGAATTGAGCCAAGTTCTCGTTCAGTACAGGGCCTACCTGAGGAGAAGAGGTAATATAGAGAAAAAAGGGGGGGGGGACTGCAGCACCTCCTTTTTTGCCTCTGCTATATACTTTACATGCTGGATGCTCCTGTCCAAACGGCACGCAGGCAGTGGCCACACAGTAACCTCGGGCTAAGCTGGACCCACTGGACCCCTCCAGCCGCGAGAGCAAATGGTCAGGTCTATACTGAGATCCAGCCCACCGCAGTCTCCCTTCTTCCTGTAGGGGGAGGGTGGTGTTTGACGATGGAGACCGTCCTGGCAAGGGTGAGTTAGGATAAGAAACTAATTCTTATCAGAGTGATCGACATCTGGAAGGGTCACCTTAGATTTCAGAAATTGGGCTTCAGGCTGGTCTGGCAGTGGGAAGAAAACACAACAGAAAGGTTTGAAACATAAGCTGTGTGTGTTGAGGGGGCTGATGGTGGAAGGAGAGGCGAGCAGAGGGGAAGGTGGGTCTTGCTGGAAGCCCGCTTTTTGCTGGGAAATTGGCTTCCCTAACTCCGGAGTCCAAGGTCAAGGTGAAAGGAGGAGAGTAAACACGGCTTGGCTAGTCTAGACTAGGTCTTGTGACCTTGGGCCCCGCGTCTGCCTGCGGCCTTTCTGGTGGGATAGGTGAGGGGAGAGGTTTCCAACCACACGGAGAGAGGTGGTGCAGAAACCCTGGCTTCCCCTCCGGTGATGGATCTGCGGGGAATGGAGAACCCGGCGACATGGACCGGGCTCTGTGGGGCCAGGGGGAGAAACAAAGGGCCTGATATGCCCACTCCATTCCTGGGTACAGGAATGCTCTAGCCCAATGCTAGACTCGAATTCCTCGCCAGAACCCAAGACACGACCATCCCCCAGCTTCTGGGAGTAGGGGCAGAACCATGGGAAGGATCTGGGTGCAGCCGGGCTGCCCAGCAATAAATAAAATTAATAGTATGTTCTTTTCCAGGTTTATATAAGGACATTAACTATTCCTATTGCGATGAGATATAGATTTAATTAACCCGGCAATTTTACAATTCCATTTATTAGGGGCACTGTGCGGCCAAAACTTAGCGACAGGAGGAAAGTGCTGGAACCAAAATCCCCTTGGTCAAGAAGACCAGTCTAAGAAGATGTAGCCCCCCCCCCCCAAAGAGACTTAGGGGAGCGAGAAAGCTGGAGGGGAAAGTTCAGGGCTAAGGGGCTGGTGAAGTGTCCACATGGTCTTTCATTTGGTTACCCAAGACCTTCCGCGCCTGAAACTGCCAGCTCCACGGCCGGGGCGCACCCGGAGCGGGGAGGGAGGCGGCGGTGCCAGAACCCGCGGGCGGGCGGCGGAAAGTAAAGCGTTGTTGGTTAATTAACTTTAAGCCTGGGGTCGCTTCTCTCTCCTCCCCCGAAAAAAATGTGGATCTCGCTGAGACACAAATAAAACCAAATTAAACACTCCAGGAGAATATGCTCCACTGGAAACGTAGTAATTACATCTTCGAGGCGATCCCGCCCTAGAAAGCCGGGTGCTGAAACCCTCGGCTTCGCTCTCACCGCCCCCCCCCCCCACTCGTCCACACCTCACGCCACCGGGCTGCAACCACCGGGCGACGGCGCTGGACTACGGACAAAGTTTACACAGAATCAAGACAAACGAAAAGGAATGTGGCTCCTTGGTCTCTAGAAGTGCTGCTCGCATAGAGGAAAGATAGAGCATTTCATTATACCAAAGGAAAATGGAAAATGGCCCCGCAGCGCTGTCGGAAAGCCCCTGCTCTGCTCTGGGCTCTTTTTACAAAGGAACGTTTGCAAGGGCGAGGTGTCCAGGGCCACTCTGCCCTCAGCTTCCTCTGGGGACTGAGGTCCCAGCTAGGTTCAGCTCCGAAATTCTTGTTCTCAAACGCTCCCGCATATAAAGGAGATAGTCATTATGCCTTCTCACTGGACGTGCATGATGGACGTGAGCACGCCTGGCCTGTGGGTTTGGGGCTGTGCAGTGTGCGTGCACTGTTTCAGCACATGCCCTTGTGGACACAGCCCATATGTGTTTATAATGATACCCAGCCCTCTGCTGAAATCCTCTATTTTGAATAAAGATCTCTGCTGATCTATTTATCTCTCCATTCACACTTAATTTACATGCTCATCCTCTACCTAGACATCCCAAAGGAAAATGAAGAGGCAGATGCCTATGTCTTTCTGAAGCTGAGGGGTGGAATTCCTGGCTCATTGTATTAAAGACAGAGCCAGAGGTGTAAGTTCCTAGCATTTGCAGCAAGAGGGTACAAGCTTAAGGCACACACTTGGGGGCTGGGTGTAGGTTGCATACCTGGCTAGGGAGAAGGATGAGAGAAATGAGCTTGGTGTGCACCTTAATTCAATACCCAGATTGTCTTATCTGGAAATTAAGCATTAGTTAATTTCTTCCCTCCTTTTGTTTCCTCCATATTCCTGAGGAAAAAAAGAGCTTGAAGCTGTGAAGCTCCTGCCCTCCCCCCCTTTCAATGGGAGAAAGTCCAGTTAGAGAGAGAGAGAGAGAGAGAGAGAGAGGGTGGGTTGAGACTTCAGGAAAACAAAGAGATTCACCACCATGGGGTCTGGATTCTGGCCCAGACTTGGGGCTTTGGTGGGTGGGCAAAGATTTGGAGGGTCCCTTCCAGGGTTTAGCTGCATGATAGAAAAGAAAATTTGTGAAGGAAAGGGGACATCAGGCTTGAACTATCCAGGAAAGAAAGGAATGTTTGAGATGGAGAGGTCACTTACAGAATGGGTTGGGACCCCAGGGAAAGGAATGCTCAGAGTGTGTCTAAGTGGGAAGAGCCTTCCACACACTAAGAGAAAATTCCTGGTGGGTTGCAAAGAGCGGTATTGTTGGGGAAGAAAGTAGAAGTGGCTGATCCTAGCTGGGGCTCTCTGGTTCTGCCCAGTCCCCTCCTGGCCTCTTTCCCTCTGCCTCTCTGGGCTCTGGAAGGTGTAGGGTGGCCCAAGGAGTGTGCAGACACAGATGCCACCTCCCAGGTTCCTAGGTCCATCTGGAACCTGCTCTACTTTAATCTCTCCACCCCCACAGCCTGGCCTCAGAGAAGAGCCACCCAGGCCTCTCCTCCCAGTCTGGGAACTCACCTCCTGAACAGCAGCTGTCATCCTGGTGTCTTCCACATTTATTGTTTTCCCTCCCTGGGCCCCCAGTTTGAGGGACCAGAATGGCTAAGACATCACTTTTTTCCTAGTTTCAGTGTTTTTACTCTAAAACCCAAACTTGCCTTCCTCCAGGCCCTATTCACTTCCCTCTTTTAGATCAAAGAAATCCACTTCCTTCTGTTGCCCATTCAGGGCTTGAAATTTGGGAAACCACACCAAACTGTCTTTTCTGGCTCTACAGGGACCTATATAGGGGTCCTGGTTTAGGCTGTTATCACCAGTCTTCTCTTGGATTCTCCCTGTGGCCTGCCCCCAATCTCATACTCTGCCTTGTAGTACACTGGGTTTGGGTGGGGCAATCAGGTGGCCCCTTCCATGGGGAACTCTCAGGAAACCTCCAGTGGCCTCCAGAGTCCCTACCCCAGCCCTCTTCCACTTCTTCCCAGTCCTGGCCACACTCATCACAGAGCCCCTTCCCAACCATCCTCATTCTTTCCTTCCCCAGCCCACCTCTTTTCTAGTCATCGTTCCTCCTACTCCTTTTCTTTTGGGGCAGCATCTCAACTGCCCTCCTCTTACCCCTATTGACAAAAGAAGTTCAGAGGATAAACACAGTTAAGAAATTAACAAAGTATCTCCTCCCCCTTCTTGACTCTCCAGAGCTCCTACCCAACCCCATCTTCTGCTGAGTGAGAGAGAGCCCTCTTGTCCCCTTGTTCTCTCCCCAAAACACCTCCCCTTTTTAGGAAGCCCTTCAGAAACAGACAAATAAAATCTCTCTGGTTTAGGGCCTGTCTGAGAAGGAAGTCCAAGTTCATTTTCAAGTTAGACAAGAGAGCTGAGGGGGGTTGGGGAAGAGGTGGAGGAGTGTTGGCTGGGGGCTGTATTTGGCTTCCTTGCAGAGATCTAACAAAGGCTCCTTTTGGTCAGAAAGCCAACAAACCGAAGGCTTGGAAAAGGTATTTATCACTTTCGATCATTTCCTCCATCTTTTAAAGTTTAGACTTGGGGCTCCTACAAAGGAAGTAGACCAGTTTCTCTCTCTTTCTCTCCTTTTCTGATTTCCAGTTATTTAAAAAGAGCATGTGGATATCCCAAACCTGAATTTCTCTAGAAAAAACTTAATGTGGATCTGGCTTCTGAGATAAACCATTATAAGGACAATAGCATTTAAAAAAAATAAATTTTAAATAATTTCTGGGAAAAAAAGGAGATATAGGAAATAAAATTTTCCACCTCAGAGCAAGGAGGGGTTATGGATCCCAACACAGCCTTCTTCTGGTTAAAGTGGGCTGTTTAACCTGTCCCAAAGAATGACTAAATATAAAAGGCATAGCTGAGGGCTGGACATTTAAACTCTAACTAGGTGAGAGACCCCATTAGTGCCACCATGATTCTGGGAACTAGAGTTTAGTGCGCCCTAAGAGGCAGATGGCGGAGGATGTATGTATATTTCAACATGGGGAAGAAGGAAATTATACCCTAAATGGACCACAGCCTAGTTCTCCCCTTGACCAGACACCCTCAGAAGTCACAGAAGATATATTCTAATCACTCAAATTTGAAAATCATTCAGCAGAAAACAAGAAATTAAAAGAATTTCAGAAGATCTCTATCAAAAGAACAAAAATTTAATTTTACCATCTCCAAAAAAAAGAGAGGTAAACACCCAAGATTCAACTAAAGAGGAGAAAAGAAACTCCTCTTCGCTAAAATGGCCAGCCTTGCTTGGAATCTATGGAACAAAAGGCAGAAGGGTACTTGGCTCAAGATTCCTGCTGGTGATGATTAATTCAATCTTCTTAAAAAGATCTAATTTGGTGCAGTTTTAGTGACTGGAGGGAAACTATCCCTATGATATACTTGGGGAGAGGGCTGTCAGACTTTCCCCTCCCTTACTGCCTTCTATCTCTCACCCAAATTTCCCCTTCTCTAGGGAGTATTTAGAAGAAGCTTTTTCTCTTAGTTGTCATGTTGCTTTGTACATGCAGCAAAGTCAATGAAATCTAAAGAACTAGAAAGAAGGATGGGGACATTCATTTTCTCTCTTCCCAAAGATTACTGCACTCACTTGCAAAATCAGAAAAAAATTTAACTCAGATAAGAAGAAATATCTTTCAAGGAATAAAGACTACCTCCCAGACTTCATGCACTTGATGGCCTCCAGCATTTCTAGGAAGAATGATTATTGAGTCTGGGTTTTTGGACACTACTGGATATTGCACAAGTGTTGCAATGGATGTGCCTTGTATTGTATAGCATGGAGACATTTTCAGGTCAATGGTGACAGGGGTGCTAGTTGGGGCAGGCTTATAGAGTAGAGGTGAACGAAAAGGAAACACAGGATGTGAGCTTGAAGAAAACCCCCATGAATCCACCAACTCCAGCTCTCTCTAGAGGTGATCTCCGTTCCTTTGGCTGAGCTATCATATAAGCACATGGATGGGAGAAAAGACTGGCCTCAAGTTTTTCAGAGATACAATTCTTAAGGTGTGGGGAGGAGGGGAACCTTGTGTGATCCCTCTCCTACTCTGAGGCCTTAGGAAAATCCTTTTCTGCTGGAGTCTGTATTTGTGATTTAAAGCACTCCCATGTAACTCTTTTTATCTATGCTTGGTTTATTGATGAATTTTCCTCCAAAGAAGTAATAGAGATTTATTTTTCTTTAATCTATTATAGACCTATCATCTCTAGACAAATAAGTATATAATATATGCTTTGTTAGGTGTTAAGGAAACTTTAGATAAATATTAACATATAATTTATGTCCATGAATACCCATATCCATATAATTAGGTAATCTTTGTAAAAGTTAAAAAAAAAAAACCCATTCCATTTGAATATGACAACATTGTCAAGTTTAATTTTAAAAATTTAAAGTATTTAATTGTCTTTGTGCTGATGCTAAGATGTGTGAGGGGTATTTGGTGGACCTACAGTTTGTGGGTAAGGATATCTGTTGGCACAGACATGTTTTTTAATCCACCTCCTCAAATGTTTTCTCTGATGCAGTTAGCAATTAAGTGGAAATGGTATTCATGCATATGTAAGGTAAAAATACTTTTTAAAATGTTATTTTTAAGAGAGAATGAAGACACTAGGTCTGAGGATGTCCAGGAGCAACTTTGCAGCATATAATTCTCAGATCCATTCCCAGACACCAGCCATCTTAGGGGAAATACATCTGCCAGAAACCAAGTTGTCATCTTGCTCAGATTGGCAGAATCCTTGCTTTGAGTCTGTTCTTCCAGCACAATTATTTTTTTCTGCAGGATTTTAAAAGATTTGGGTCACTTCCAGAGCCTGAACGGCGAGGCGAGTCCCCTCCGTCGTCGTAGCAGTCACCACGGCTTTGCTCCGCAAGAGTGCGGCGGCAGCACCTAACTCCTTTCTCTGTTCTCCCTGGATCGCTCCCAAGACTTCGAGAGAGTTCGTTATTTATTGTAATAGGCTGCTCTTTGTTTTGTTCTGTTTTTTATTTTTATGTGTAGTAATTATTTAGTATTTTATTTCAATAACTCCGACCAAGCTTAAGCTTGGTGAAAGCCGCCTTCACACAGGACAATAAACAGCGGACACCGAGGACAGCGGGCTCGGCGCCCGCATTGGAAAGCGTCCGCTCCACTCCCCGCGGCGCCAGAGCAGATCCTGCGAGCCAGGCACAATCACACCCGTAATCCTGATTGATGCACTTATGTGCGCTCTACGGGCACCTAAGCTGAGCACACAGGTGGGTGTCTTTATTTGTGGGATGAGCAGACTCTAATGAGATCCCTGAGAGCTCTGCGTGTGGGGAGGCGCGGGCTTACCAGATCTGGGCATTCATGGACGTGCTTGTGTGAACCGATTGGGAGGTTTGGGAAGTTAGGTCCCTGTGCCTGCAGGAGCTCCTGTGCTTATCTACAAAGATACTTCCTGACTGCGAATTTCTGTTAACAATCACCACTGCCAGGACCAAGAATCAGCCAACTTTTCCTTCCTTCTCTCTGAACGTCTTCCTGTGCCTGTGGAAAGGACACCTCCTAAAAGGAAAGGGGGGGGGGGAATCCACCCCACCTTATTTTCTCTTTTTAAAATGTCCAGTCTTGAAATATGGAAGTGGTAAAAGAAAAATTATACACCTACAAATGTAAATAAAATAAAATAAAATAAAAAAGGTTGAGAGAATCCCTGGTTCAAAAAAAGGGGGGTGGAGTGGGTGAATGAGTGGATGGGAAGGACTGGAGACCAGAGGCAAAGAAGCCATGAGAACAGACTTCTGCAAAGCTGGGTAAATCTTAGTTGGCATAAGGATAAAACAGGAAGACAAATTATTCAGATGATAGGAATCCATTTCTGTGTGGTTATCTATTTGCTGCCATTTGCTGCATATAATACATATAAAGTGGCATGGTCATGTTTTATGTAGAAACTCTCAATGACAATTAGACATGTTTCAAATGTACTTCTAAATCTGGTGCCCTGTGGGTCTAGGATTTCCTATACAGGGTGGGGCAAAAGTAGATTTACAGTTGTTCATATGGAAAATAATACAATAATTAATAAATACAAGAGAAAACTGTGTGTACTCACTACTGTAAACCTATTTTTGCCCCACCCTTGTATTAAATTTTTTCTTTAGAATACTTTATACTTTAAATAGTAGGAACAGGATCATAGAGTGGTGAATTTCTCTTTTCAAACATTGCCAGTGAGAAATTCCTGCTCATTACCTTTCAAAGCTTCATCCCACCCTTGAAAAAAAGTTCCCTAAATGTGATTTATCTTGGGAAGAAGAAAGCCCAATCCTGAACCCTCTCCCCTGCAAGATGATTGCTCACTGGGTCTGGTGGTCTGGCCCTCTGGGTGCAGCCATTAGAGGAGTGCTCCTTGCTAGGTCCAGAGACACCCTGTCTATCTCCACACTGGCCTCTCAGGGCTCTCTCCTTAGGCTTAAGGTCTGAACCCAGTAGGGATTTGTTAGGTGCTCTGCCCAGCTTGGAACGTGGATCTGAATGTACCAGTTCAAGTCCAGTGGAGTGATGCCCAAATTCACTCCAAAAGTGCATATTCAGCCTAAAGATTATATGCAGGGGGCTGCCTACTCAGCTTCAATCATCTTGAGGAAAAACTAAAGCCTAAATATTATTCCTGAATATGTATATATAAGTCAACATAAGTAGAAAACCTGCGCCTGCTCGCTCTCTCTCTCTCTCTCTCTCTCTCATTTTGATAACTTTATCCAGCTTTATGTCTTTTATCATAACAGAAACAATATCCTTCTAGGAATTGATGCCCCCAGAAAGGCAGACTGTCCTCGTACAATCAGGAAAAATATGCACAGTCTGCCATCGTGCAGAGAACACTGCACGGGCCTCTATCACATTTTCCCTTTTTTCCTTCTTTTTCCTCTCCAGACTTGGTGAGTCTCCACAAGCAATCAGAATTCACTTTTTCCTAAATTAATCAAATAATCAAAAGCTAAGTGAGAGGAAGAGTTGTTTGATTTTTTTTTCCAAGACAATTTCACTGTGATGTTTTTAGAACTCTGTGATATTGTCCTTCCACTTCCATGGAGAACCTGACCCACCCCACACAGAGACCTGGATAATGAGGTCCACGCTATTTGAACAGGGAGCTTATCTGTAATAACTTAAAAATCTTCCTTGGTCACAAACCCTTAGGACAATGAAGAACCCCCCACCCCTCACCCCACTAAGCACCTCCCTGTCCACCATTTCTTCAACCTTTACTTGGTAGCTTCAATTTCAAGTAGTTAAAACTGCTGGGGAAGGTCCCCCTTCTCAAGGCCAAAAAGATACCCTTTTGTGCCCTAGGAAACAGAGCCAGCTCAACCAGCAGACTCAGGGGCGCTGTGTGTGTGTGTGGGGGGGGGGGGCGCAGGAGACCTTATTGGGAAATACAGAGGGCCCATAATCTCGCTGCAGGTCTTCACTCTAGAGATCAGTCGCATTATTTAATTTTCTTCTTTCCCAGGGCTGTTCAACAGCCCAGGAATATTGCCTTTCTAATTCCCCAGCAGCTACGTATGCTGCCTTCGAAAACAGACGGCCTCCTGCAGCCGAAATCCGGCGGAAGGAATGGCAGCGCTCTCGGCTGAGGACCGGCCTTTTCCTTCCCGCGCCTCAGCCGCGTGCGTTCAACCA